AATTTCCATCTGCATTTCTATTCAACTGAGATCAAATTGAAACGATCAAATTGAAACGATCTTTGTCACGATGTTTGAACAAAGCAACATTCGAAATGTTATTCGCTCTCGTGTAATTCCTCTTTAAAATAAATTATAACATTCATCGAACTTTAACGAGTTGTAAAAACGGGATCCAAGTTAAATTAAATCGAAACTGGTCTAACTTTGTTAAACAATTTTCTGGATCGATACTCACGTTGACAGCAGCGAGAAGATGCAACGTCTCTTCTAACAAATCGAACACATGCGTCGACTATTTTAACAAGTTGCAAAAACCCAATAGAAGTGCAGAATACGACGTTGGTAGGACGTTATCTATGTGGACCCCGATAACATCGGACGTTTGTTTTACCGATGCATAAAACCAAAAGCGGAGGAGCCTTTCTCTCGCGAGCGGCCATGAAAAATTGCCAGTGTCCTGGAAGGATTTTCAGCGCGGACTTATCTCAGCCTTGGATCGGCCGCGACCTCGTTTCCCTTTGTTGCCGCCGTCACGCTTGATTAACCCGCTTTATCTCGATTTTTCGCCGATTTATTAATGAAACCATTCCACCTCTGTACCTTCTCCGATCTTGCCAATAGCAAACTGAAATCCATTAAATTTAGAAATATGTATTTGCAAGTCCGAAATCTGTTTGTGAATTTTGGGAAATTCAGCGATGTTGCGTAACATTGACGACGACAACGATGAACGTTGGGTGTTTTGGAGGAATTTTCTAGGAAGTTTCTATATTATTATATTATATTATATTATTATTATATTCTATAACGTATGTTAACATATTAATCTTTTTTAATTATTTTAATTCTTTAAAATAATATAATAATAAAATAATATAATTGGTTATTATTATTATATAACAATATGAATCTCTTATTTATTTTTAATTATTTTAATTCTTTATTATCTCACTGTTTCCTCCTTTTTCTCGATTCGTCTTCTATTCTTCGCAATAACAACTGTTCGCTATTTTGTCTTATCGGTATGTCGAAAAAGCATGGAACACGACATTATTGTAATTAACATTCCTTACATACTTCTATCGTTTTCTTCGAATCGAAATTACTGTTCAAAATACCGATTAGAATAAAGGATAAGAAAAACTCAGGAATCATAGTGGAACTGACTATCAATCTTATTATACATGCAAATACAGACCTCGAACCTTTGACGGTTCTCCATAAAACAACGCAAGTCTTTTCTCGAGTGCCTCGCCTTGAAACAAAAACATTTCTCCATCACCTGTACATCTCACGCGAGAGTTTCTTCCGGAACAAAAAATGAAATGAAATTATAAATGTTAATTCCCTCTAACCATTTTAAACGTAACTTCCTCGTTACTCTTGTCAAAGGACAAGTTGCACGCTACACGTGATTCCCGTCCGACTTGAAAATAATCGAAAAAAAAAAGAAAAAAAAACAATTGTTCGTAAGAAACGAGAACTTAGACACGGGACGGGGAGTTCCTGCGGGCTCTACGATTAAGAGAACACAATTGTGGTCAATGCCGAGAAAAACGCTGTTTATTACTCGCGTCGAGAAGCTCGTCTCGGCTTGGCAGTCACTACACGCCGAAGCAGTCTCTCTACAATGAACAAAACACACTATTTACAATGTGTAAATCCACCGTTTTTGGATCCGGGTGCAAACCCCTCTAACACGGCCGCCGTCCTGCCCACTCTCCTCTGCCAACGAGCTTCATTCTCACCGAATTCTATAGGCAGCCACGTTTTTCTTCTGTTTCGTCGACGATAAAACGATAAAAGAAAAGAGGGGAAAAAGGGGGAAAAAGGAACAAGCTTTATTTAACCGACTGTGACTGTTTGGCCCTTTGGCTAGCATAAACACTCGGAACGGCGAGTGGACGACACAGAGGAGGCAACGTTTTCGCTTC